TGCTATGTTTAAGTTTTGGCCAAAATATAATAAGAAGTTAAACAGGGTTTATTGATAAAGAGTAATTATTCTAGAAATTACGGTATCTGGTTTATGAAATATAAAAATGGATAGCTATAAATACTAAAAATTTTTATACTTTATTTTATTTTTAGAGCAAAACGAGGATACACGCACATCTGAGGTTTCATTGAAATAAATTTATTAAAAATTATCACACTAATTTTTTAAATGCTGTCACCTTTTATAAAAACAATACTATTTTGTCTTCATATTAGCGTTGGCGGATCCGGATATCTTAAGTTTTCTGTTCGGATATGGATTCGGATATCCGAATATTTCAACTATCGCCCAACCTTACTTCATACTTGTATCTATAATGAGTTAACTAAAGGCCGAATTTGGCCATTGTCTTTATAAAACAGCAAATGCATTAATGACAATCTAAACTTTTTTATTAGGACGAGGCATCAAATAAAACGCTAAATTTATTTCCAATCCATGGAGACAATCAGGGAACTGATGCTTCAGAGCCCATAACAGATCGGGATGAAATGCGGTTTAATTTTATTGTTGAAATCTCAGACGAAAAGATAAATTTAACAAATATTTTTAGTGTCAAGCATGACTTAAATCAGTATCAGTTTTTTCCACAACAAGGTGTTGACTCGAATTATAGTTCAACTCAAACGGAGTATGGAAGTTCTTACCAAAATGCTCAGATTGGTACATCTGGACATGGAGGTATAGTATTATAATTATTTTTAATATACTCTGCATTCGATTTGTTGTACACTGTAAGGAAAATTTTAGAATTTAATTAAAAATTTTAAATTTAAGACCATCAGCATTATACAGGGCGTTATAATGTCGGTCTTAACGAGCGAAAGCGTTACTTGAATATTGAAGCTAAAAAATCTAACGCTCCGAAAAAGACAAAACATCAACATGATGTAACTAAGGCTCAAGAAGAAGGTAATAATCATGAGAAAACTATTAACAATTGCTCGGTATTGGGATTCTGTCTGGTATCGTTACAGCATATATCTGTATTATGATACAGATAAGTCGGGAATAGCGATTGATACCGTTTGAGATTTCTATACATATTTTGATATAGTAAAGCCGCTGGGCTATAGCATTTCTCTCCTTTAGCTAGTGCAAAAGGTTAATCGTCGGCTGGGAGCGAACTAACATAGACCGGAGTAATGTGTTAGCCATTACACCACGCCGCCTACTGCACAGCCTTAGGAATTTAATAGCTATATGCTTACAATATTTAGAATATATTTTTAAACTCTTCAATTTTAAGATGACTACAAAGTAAGTATAATGAAAATGTATCAGAGTGGGAAGGAACAAGGAAATGAATTTATCCCCAAGATTAAACTTGAGAAATATAAAAAATCGGAAGGTTCAGATTAAATTTATTAAAAAAGATAAGTAAACAATTGCTGATATTAGTCGACTTGTCTCCAATCTTTAATGAATTTTGGCTTTTTAAGCACTCTTTTTATTTTGATCATTGTACCCTCCTGCATGTCTTTTAACATCCTATTTTTGCTTTTTCGGTAGCTAATCATTTTAGTTTGATGTTAGTTTTATGTGTTTATTGTTTCATCTGCATAAATGCTATTCTACGCTTTAATTTTGGTTTTATAAACCCTCCGCCTTGCCCCCTAACTATTTTAACATTTATAAAAGATAAATATTTTAGGATAGTTTCTTTATTTGTTCAGTGAATAAATGCTTTTTTATTAGATTGTTCTATACTAGAGATATTTACTTATAATAAACATTTTAAGGGTTTTAAGCAAGCTGAGAACAATACAATATTTTAATCTAGTGTGAAAAAGATAACTTATAAAGAAATTACATTTTATTTTTTAATTAAAAAATATTAAAATTTTTGTCTCCATGAAAGTTTTATGCCATAATTCAAAATAATATAATATGGCATAGAAAACCTTACTGTTCCTAAAATTTCGAAACTAAAATTTTAGAAATTTCGAAACTAAAATTTTAGAAAAGTCTTAATATTCTATAAATATTTAAATAATAATAATTATACTAAATTGTTTTTTAAATAAACAAAAATTATTAAAAACTAATTATAATATTAAATAACAACAAATAGAATTTTTGATAATTAAATTATAAATTTATTGTAAAATTTTACATATTATTAAATATATAAAATATACTAACTTATAATCATTACTAGGGCTCCCATTTAAATGGAAATTCATATTTTTCCTCAATTCCTATGACTTTGAAATGTCGAAAAACATGTTTTTGGCTTATTTTAGGGTTTCTAATATGGATTATAAAATCCATATTTTCCATATTTTCCATATTTAGCCTCTTTATCCATATTTTATATCAATATTTGTATTTTTTGAATATTTTGATCCATATTTGGTCATTTTGTAAATCTTAGTAAAAATTGGCGAAATTTTCAACATTTTGGAAATTTTGCCTCTTAAGTTAAAAAAGATTAATGTTTAATATGTAAATTTTAAAATTAAAAATGAAAATTTCTTTAAAATTTTTAATTATGTTGGAAAATAAACTTGTTAGTTAAATTGCCGTTTGTGTATCTTTTTATTAGGCAAGTTTTTGGAAAATTGCTATTTGTTTGCGAAACTCCATAATTTTATTTAAACAAAATCATATGTTTAAACAAAATCGCATGATTTTAAAAAATTTATTTAACTATTTTAAAGGTTAGAGAATCAGAAAAAAATGTTAGACATAAGAATAATTTTTTAAGCATTGTCGAGAGTGCATGTCCATTGCCTTTACTGCCTGTTAAGCATTATTTAAAAATTTTAATAAGCGCTTTAAACAATTAATTTTAATTGATTAGATGATTTTCTGTTTCTCTAACCTCTAATAATTTTTAAATGAATGCTTTAAAATTCATAAGATTTTTTAGAAATTTTTAGAGGTTAGAGAAATAGAAAATTAAAAAACCTGTTAGACATAAAATTTTAATGACTAGGGATTTGATAACAGCTACAGCTCTCTCTCTCCTCCCTCCCTCCCTCCCTCACCCCTCCCCCATCCCCATTCCCTCCCCCTCCTCCCCCTCACTCCCAATGACCTTGCCTAAATCCTCTTTATACATTATAGCATTTATTAATGGGGAATTTTGTTGGGGAATTTTTTTATTGTGAGGAATTTTTTAAAATAATTTTAAAATTACTTTGAATGGTTTCTAATAGGGGAAATTAAAAAACCTGTTAGATACTTTTTCTTTTTGTCATAACTTGTTTAAAATTGGGTTCTTATTACCTATTTCACTGTTTTCTTATATTGAAGGTCGACCTTCATATATTTAACTTGTGAAATCTGGATTTAAAACTGTTGTTTTACAAAAGTCCGTGTTTCTTGCCTTTTTCTTGGTATTTTTAATATTTTAAAAATTATTTACTATTCTATTTTTTCTCCATTATTATTATACATATATCCTAGTTCTTTTAACTTGGAACTAATAGTTTTTGGGCCCAAGTGTGGAAAGACACCTTTGGGGCGTGCCGATCCACCAATTAAAAAAAAGACATTCTTTTTAAACTTTTATTCAACAGATATAATTATTAAAATCAAAAGAGAACAGGCCAAATTTTCATCGGGTCCAAAACTTTTATGAATTAACTAGCCAGTTCTCTCGACTTTTATGAGGCGCTAAAAATGGACATTGCAACAATTATTTATATTTTTCTATTAATTATATTTTGACACATGCTTAACACGAATTAATACATTAGCACAGAATTAAACTTTTAGTTTTGCTCCAATTTTAATTTTATAATTAATTATTATTAATATAATAATATTTTTAAATAATTTTAGAAAATGAGTTTCATTTTCCAGCCTCGCTTTAGCCTTTTAAAATGTCTCATAGTGATATATTTTGCGAGTTTTGAGTTTGATAATGTCTACGCAATGAGAGGAAATAGAAAGGATAAACGTCAACGTGAAGGTGAAATTTAAGCTTACGAATGATAATTTCATTTTTCCATGATAATTATTGTAATTATCCTGTGTAATATTCTTGTAATACCTTTATTAACCCAACACAAAGGTTTAAAAAATTGTTTAAATACATCTAGTAGGTGATCATTACTTAGATGTAATTATGGAGGACATATTAAGCAGCTGCTTGAACTTAACAATTTAGGATCTTTTAAGCTCAAATGAGCTTGATTTCAGAATTTTTAGCTCCGCAAGCTTATATCTCTTTCGGTATTCAGAAAATACGGTAAATAAATGGAAATCCGAACAATAGGGAAAATGTAGAAAATAGGGAAAAATGGGGACAAATTCTATAAATATTAGACGATGTTCGGCATCGAAATTTGATAAATACATGTAAATCAGGCATTTCAAGCAGGGCTGCACGCAATTGCGTATTGAGAGTTTTGTAATTGCGTGTTGCTGAATCTTTTTTTTTCAATTGATTGCAGCACTGATCTCAAGATAATGTTATTTCTAGCTAATAAAAATTTTGGGAAACATAATATTTTTAATTAGATGCCGGTTATCTCTGCTTATAAAAAAGTTTTGCAAATTATTAATTTTAAGATGCTGATGATTTCTCAAAAAAGATTGAACAAAGTAAGAAACAATCAGAGCAATTTATTCCCAAATTTGAATTTGTGACTTATCAAAACAACGCTGAAACACCATCTATGGTTCACTAAAATAAATTTAAAATTATTTCGACACATTATTAATGTTACCGTAAATTCTCTAATAGAAGCACACCCTCCTATAGATGGCGTTCAATCCACCCTACGGGAGGATTTAAAAATAGAAGCTTTAATTAGAGGATTTATGGTATTTTTCCAATTTATTTGCCTAAATATTAAGGGACCTGCGAAGAAATTTTACACATACAAAGAAAGGTTAGACAACTTGAGAGGAACTGGACACGCAATTTTTGTAATAATTTTGATAAAGTATTATTATAAATTTAAAAAATTTTGATTAGCAAACAGAATCATATGAACCATACAAACAAACACACCCCAAACTAACCCATGAAGCACAGCCCAAACAAACACATGAACAACTAAACTCATTTCAGCCTGAAACAAACTTTCAAACATTTGATCCGAACAACATGACAGAATGGGATTATTTGGAGTTTAATTTTATCTTTATGAAATAAAGTTTAAGAGGGTTGCTTAAGTTCAGATTAAATATTAATGATAAATATTAATGATTTATCGGTATCGGTATTCCTTACCGTTTTGCGGAACGGTAAAAGGTTGAATTTTATCGCTATTTATCGGTATCGGTATAATACGGTATTACGGTACGGAATACGGTACGGAACAAAATTACGATCTCTAGTCTCAATACGCATTAAGCCGAAATTTAAAATTATAACATACATGATTTTACTTTTCAGAGAACGTGAAGCTTTAAAGAATTTTGATTTTAGTCAACATGACCAATTCCGTAAAATTTTTTAAATTAATAAACTATATTTTAAATTAAAGCTCAATATTATGGAAGATTAGTTAACGATAATACGATGGATCCTGCTTATTACATCAACATGTTTAAAAATTCCAAAGCCTCTGGCAGTTCTAGCACAAATCCTAAAATGTATACGACTCCATATGATAGTAAACAATTTTTATCTGATAAAATTATTAAGGATTTTTCACGTTCGAGGTATATTGGGACTTCATAGAGCGGAAAGACATGATGTCAGAAGTTAAAGTTCCGATCAGGGCTGTACGCTATTGCGGATTTGTAGATTGCCTGGTTTTTTGGACTTGCAAGTATATACATATAAGACGTAATCTCCCAGCTATATTCTGCAAACTCCCCTGATATCTCGTTCGATCCCTTGAGGTCCCTAATCCTCAATATCTATGCAAATCACTTATCTCATTTGAAATTACCATTATTCCGTCAACTCCCTTTATATTCCAAGGTTACCCCCTACATACCCAGATTGCTTATTGCTGACTGAGGACTTTTTTAAAATAAAATTGCGAAGAAAAATTTTTTCATATGCGGTCGGCCCTGGTTCCTAAAAGCCTCTACCTATAAAAATTTTTCATTAAATAAATTTTAAGGTATCGACAAAAATATTGCGGCATTGTATGAAGATACTAAGGAAAAAGCAAATAAATTAGTAACAGGTTTCGACTTTGCTCATAAAAATTCAGATTATCAAGCTGATCCAAAACATTAAACTGACAATCGACGACACTAAACGATTTTATCTCTCGTTTTTCTTCCCTATTTTATCTTTTGAAAAAAAGGATCCGTGCGCAGAAATCTGGAAACTTTACTAAATCAGCGACTCTATCCATTGTAGGAAGTATAGTCGCAGGGCTATAATTTGTTCTAAAATTAGAGATTAAGACAGTTCGAAGTATTAGGATTTAGACTAATATAATTAACGTAGGTATTTCTTCAAATAGAGCTTCATCCTCAATTAGAGGATGAACACTCTATTTCAGCCCCACCTTGTAGATTAGTTAGAGAATAGAGCCCAACCTCAATTAGAATATGGTTGAGATAATTCGAGATTTTATCAAACATCATACTTTGCCGGCTCGAGCCGGTAATTTTAGACAAAGTTATAAGCCCTCCTAATGGGCGGGCTCACACGAATTATGGTAGATCTTTGCATAACTTTCCGACTTTACTTTCGACTTACTTTCCGACTTTACCTTTTTCAAAATTTGTGAGGTAAAAACGTGGGATTAGTGATTACTTCAAGCACTGTGATATTATCACTTTTCTTTTAAATTTTTTTCTTCCGTCTTATTCATTTTATTCACAACGTTTTCATTGGTTCAAGCATAAAATGAACTTTTTTAATTGACTAATTGATAATTACACATTTTTATTAGGATTGCCGTTTTCGAGTCGTGCCGACGTTCGAGGCATTTTTTTCGGGCTTGTTTTTATCGAGTCGGGTCGGTCTAATAATACCGTAAAATAAAATTGAAAAATTGCTAAAATTTATCGTAAAATAAATAATATGTAAATAAAATTTACTAAAATAATTTGGTAGAATGGTGGTTTAAAAATGCTTAGTTAAAATTTAGTTTAAAATTGTTAAAAATTTTAAATTTTAATGAATGGTAGGGAAAATAAAATACCGTAAATGCTGAAATAATTACCCTCCTTCTACAAATACTTCTCCCCTCTATAATTCCCATCCTCTAATGTAGTTACTCGCTATTTTTTACATTAATTTTTATAAATCTGTAGGAAAGTATTATCAATTATAATCATTATCAATATCAAAAAATAAAGCAATTTCTTCTGAGTTGTTTCAGATCACAAACCAAATACAGACCCCCCTCCGAAGAAAGCTTGAAACAAAATTACCCAAAGTATTAGGGTGTAACATAAATAATTAGCCCCCCATGTGGTAAGTGGTTTAAATAATTATTAAAATTCAACTAAATGTTTCCAGACATCGAATTATATTTTTTTATAATCCTAAGAGAGTTGCCTATTTTCTGGCAAAAAATCAGAATCCTAGGATTAGGTTGGCAGGAGTTAGCATGGGGAATTATTCAAGGGAGGGGAATTATTCTAGTTTTGAAATTTGAACGTGTAGTAGGGTATTTGGGGAGGGGAATTATTTTGACAACTCATCCGTAGCAGGTGGAATTATTCTAGGGAGGGGAATTATTCAATGTAGATGAATTAATCGAGTAAATACGGTATTTCAGCATTTACGTTATAGTTGGACCTCGTAAAAAACTCGCTAAGAATGCTCAAAATAAACTGAACTTTTTTTAAAAATATTTTAAAACCCAAAAATTTGCTTAAATATCAACATTTTAATCTTTTAGCATTTGTTCTCAGCTTCCAAATTTTCTTCACACCATTTTTTCAAATTTTCTTTTTCCATGAATCTGATTCCAAAATTCATATCTAATTGTATAGGAATGCCAAGTTGTCCAACTGCATTTTCATAAGTTTTAGCTAATTTAGCCTTCATAGTTTTTATCTTTAAATTTAAATTCTCGAAGGTGACAGGTGAATCTTTTTCACCCGATTGTTTAATCTCAATTCCAACTATCCAATAGGTACAACGCCAATCCTGATTTAATTTTTTAAATTAAATTTAGGACACTAGAACTAAGGTATACCTTATATCCTTTTAATTTTCCTTCAAGCTCTTTTGGGCATTTCTCAGAATCCAACAATTTTAAGGGTCTAATATGAAGATATTCAATAATATCAACTTTTTTTTCAATTATTTCAACCAATTGAACACGTAATTGACTTTCAATAATGTTGCAAAATTGAACACCGTGAATGGACACATTTAAGTGTGAGCAGTTTAGCAAAAGAAAATGATTATACTGGAAATATTTTATTAAAATTTATCTTGATTAGGTACTAAATTTTCGTGTAGAATTATAATATTGTTCTTTATATCTCGCTTATTTAACAAAAATCAAGAATTCTAAAAAATCAAATTTTGTTATGCTCAGTAAGAATGCCTAATACTATTTTAAGATACGGTATGAGAGATTTAATGAAATACCCCTATTTTTTGGAATGAGGGGTAGAAGATCCGTATATGAGTGATCTAGTTAAGTTTTCCTTATGAGAAAGTTAGTCGTGGTATGGGAGACTAACCATTTTAGATCACTAGAATAAAGACCATATTTCTTCTAAAAAGTCAATTGTTAGGGGTGTATATTTAGTTCAGTTCTCGCGAAATTCTTGGCAAGGACCGAGACGGTGTTACGAGACCCTAGGTCAGCAAAATCAAGGTCGAGAGCTTGAAAATGGGCGAGGACCTTCGCCTCGCGAGGCCTCAACTACTCTAACAAAGAGACACTCCGGTCAGTAACTATGAGAGACACTCCGTTCTCTAACTAAGGCCTAGACTTTTTATCATCATTTTATCAATGAAAATTTAAAATTGCTTTTAAATATTGTTTAATACCTCTTCAACAAATTCCTTTTCATTTCCAAACCAGTCAATCCATTTTTGCTTAATAACTTCCAAAGATGAGTTCCCATTAATACCGTTAATCACTTCAGACAACTTTTCTAGCCCTAATAGTTATATTATTTTAATAAAAAAATATTGAAAAAACCCTTTTTAGATTGCTTAATAATAATTTTAGCCGTAGATTCATTCAAAGTTAACAAAGAATTTTGTGTTGGATACCCGGGAGGTATAATCTTCCAAAGTTTATTCTGTCCTATTTCCTCCCCAAATTCAATTTTACGCCATTCTCTCTCTTTCTGATCATCCCATTCATTCTCCTTTTTATCTGCTATATTTATATCAACCCAATCTTCAATAAATTTTTTATGAAAGTTTTCTAATATTTGACAAATGTGTTTATTTTCCTGATTTTTTAATAAATCATAAGTCAAAAGAATCAAAGCTTTATCGTTTAAAAATTTATAAATTCCTCCATAAATAGAATTTTCTGAAATAAATTTAAAAATAAAACGAGTATATTTTAGTAATTTTAATTCACTTTTGCTCCAAATTTTAATAACATTAATTAATGTTTGAAGTTTGTGTGAGCCGTTGACAAGTGGCGCCATTTTCACATCAGCACGATAATCTAAGAATGATATTAACAATAAGCTTTTCCCTTAAATATCTTCTCTATTTGATACATTTTAATTAATTTAATTTAAATTTGTTTTATTTTTGTTTGGCGTTTCGTTTTATTTTATTGACCCATCCCCTTTTTTCATTGTGACCTTTCCCACTATAAATAAACTTGTCCTCTCCCCAAATTCATTCATATATTTTTATTAAAAGAAAAATAAATTGATCTATAAATAAAATATTCTTATTGTGTTGGAATCCCCCAAAAATTGAATTTTTTGCAAAAATAGACGAAAAATGCCATATTCAAAAAATCGTATCTCTGGTCCGGAGAAAGATATTTCTAAGCGGTTTTGTGGTAAATACTCAAAAAATGTGCTTTATTAAATGGGTTTGTTAAATTTTTTCCGAAAAATTTTTCCGAGGATATGGGATTTGATATATTCGGTAGATCCGGATTATCTCGGCCAATTTTCATTTTGATGAAAAATGCATAAACATGTCAACTGAGATACAAATAGAGCTTTCGATTGCTATATAGAACGAATTTTTTGAATAAAAAATTAAGAATTTAAAAAAATTTTATACTGAATGACCAGTACTGTATACGGTCTTCCAGATAGAAACGGATTATTTGCAGTTTATTTTTCCCAAGATAAAATTTTGAAATTCGAAATTTTTTGGTTCAACACTTACTAATCGCCATTATTTAAATTTAAAACTTTAAATCTACTTTCTATACAAAAATTCTTTAAATACCTGATAATTCATAAATCATTTTTGTTCCAATCGGCTCATTTTCCAAACTCAATACAACCGGAAACTTTTCAATTACTCTGTCAATAATATTTAAACGTCTGTCCATTATTCCTTTCATATTCCCTGCTACTTTAGGCATAATAACGAATCGCAAATAAATATTTAAATTTTCAATTCGGAAATTAATTGAAATTGGCAAATGAAGCGATTTGCTTAGATTTGTAACAAAAGGATTCTAAAAATTTCTAAGATTTCAAAAAAATAGTTTTAGCCCGAACCTGACATATGTGGCAATAAATCGAGTAATCGTTACATACTCCTCTTCGGTATTCATTGCATAATTTATTCCCCAAAAATTTATTTTCCACAACTTGCTTTCTAGCGTCCTCAGTTTCACTATCATTTTCACAAAGAACAATTCCTTCAATTGTGGAATAGTCTTTGAGTACTTCAATGTTTACAAGATTTGTGATTAACAGTTCACATGTTAGTTTCTATATATTAATATTAAAAATTAGCCACTTATAACGGATCAGGCCAATGCACCGAGCTACTATATCTTTTTTTTAAATTAACGATACGGTACGAGTCTCGATGATATATATGTATGAACGACTAGTATTTAATTATAATAGTCGCTGAGAGATCCTCTTTACTCCCTCTAAATCCCTTCAAAACCTAAATCCACATATATCCCAAATTCACTTTGGGATATATGAAAAATACATAAAAATATATACGTGGTATATACACTTTGGGATATATACCACGTATCCACCTAATTTTAAAATTTTTTTTTGCTTTTGCTGCGGGTAACCTCAGCAAAAGCAAAGAGTCCTTAAGCCAGATTTTTACTTCTAAGCCTAGTCTAATATTTAAATTAAATTTATTAATTTAATATTATATGGTGTGGTTGCTGAATTTGTTGAATCTGCTTTTATTTCCAATTTTGACAGAAACCAATAACTCTATTCAGGAGTGAAGGGATATGATATACCCCACTGATACTACCTTGTTTGATTTGTTGTAATAATCATCAAACCATGTCTTCAATTCCAATTTAATTGCCAATTTGCTATGGTCAATTATTATATTTCTTGAGCTACTTTCCTCCCCCATAAAAATATTTCTAGTTACATTTTCCATGTAATATTTTTCCTTTTCTTCGTTTAGTATATTAATAAGCTTAAAATATTAATTTTATTAAAATTTTAATTTAAAATTAATAGAAGAACCGAAATTTCTGCATTTTTATCTTCTCTGAATTTTTCTAGTTTTCTGGACTCTTCCAAAGCTTTTACATCAGTTTCAGTCTGTTCCACAATTTTAACATTTTCTAAATCTTTTTCATCTTCAAGATGAACACTTTTTAGAGGCTCCTTGTAGCCGCCGTCCTGTAGTTTATTATAAATAATGTCGTATGCTCTATATTTAGCACCAATCAACTTAACCAAACGATCTGTAGCGTCTTTATTATGTAATCCTTTAATTAAAAATAATATAATTTTAATAATATAATTGTAATATTTAATGTGTGTTTCGGAATGCATCAGTCCCTGATTTTCTGGCAGTTACCCCTCGCTATTTGCTTGATAGGCGATCTCGCTCTCCATTTACTAACTGAGCTCTGAGGCTAGAGGTCTGAGCTATAATGGATCAGCATTTAAATGCTAGTCATCCGTATCTCTCGGTTACCTTACATTATTATTAGTAAATATAATTAAGTCGAACACTAGTTTAGTTACTTTTACTAAAGGCACATGTTTGTAGGTATAATCCTTAGGTACACTTTTAGGAACCAAATTTAGGAAATATTTTACCATCTCTCAATTCAATAGCAAATTCCTTCTTCTCTTTATTGTCATGTCCAGGTTTCATTTTAGCTACCCAGGCCTCTTTAAGAACAAGCTGTCTACTCAACTCATCGTAAATTAAATCTTGAATCCATTTACTAAAATCTTTCATGCTTTCCTCAATTGCTTCAACTTCCTTATCAGTATGTGCTTTTGTCTTTTTCATTTCTGAAATAATTTCTCTGACTTCCTTCTCGAGTTTTTCGATTATTTTGACTTGCTTTTTTTCAATCACATTAAAATCCAACAAGAAAATCTTATCGTATCGGCTTCCAATTATTCCCTTTTTCTTTCTAAAATTTAAGCTCAGTTGTTCAACCTTGCGATTCTTTGGATGTTCCTCTTCCAATTTTTTAATTTCTCCGTGTATCCACCTCATGGAAACAAAAAACTTTAAAGCGAAAATTCCTCTTAAGTTCGTAGTATCATCATCACTTAAAATAGCTTCCCAAAAATGTTCTCTCAACTGATTATCATCCACAAATGGATCGTTTTCAATAAAATATTTTAGTTTAAAATTTGGGACCAAACTCGCCATTTTACTCTTCCTTCCAGGAATCTTCAATAATTCCTTAATTTTTGGATCATTTGCAGATTCTTGATGAAAACTTTCCAAATATAAGCGTTGTTCAATTAAAGCAACATCTTTTTCATTTGTATCATCGCATTTGGAGTAAAAATCATTCAAATCTAACAAATCATATTTTACTTCGAGCTCACTTTTTGTTTTTAATTTTTTTATTTTGTTGAATAAATGCTCAAATTTGGCATTTGTAATAGTTTTAGAATTTATTATGTCTTGCATCGATAACAAAGTATAAATCAAGGATTTAATCAACACACAAGCACTTTTAGGCAAATTATTTTCCTTTTGAAGATTTTCCTCTAATGTAGCCTGTGCTTTTCTGGCATAAAAATACACCTCCCTAAGCTTTATAGTGTAAGCATTGAAACCAGAATCATCAAATAGTTTGTTGTTCTTAATAAGAAGTCTTGATTCCTTAGTAATTTCATCCAAATCTTTTGTCAGTATTGCAATTGCAATTCTCAATTCTGCATTTTGTGCTTCTTTTGAGTACATGTCATTGCTCAAAAATTTTTCATAGAGATATACTTTAACTTTTTTTTCCATCATATCTGCAAGATCAATATTTATTCAACTATATCAATAGCCAAGACCTACAGGTCTTTGTCTTGGCATGAGGTCTCGTAAGTTTATAATTAAAATCATTGGTAGTCCTTGATTACTACAAAACTTATGTCTGTCTATTTATGCCCCGCTTAAGTCGACGATCACAACAGATACTTTAATGTTGTGTCCGCACTTGCAGGAAGAATATAAATGAAAATAAATAACCCATCATCGGGTTGGATGGTGGCACAATCGGTTGTGCTTCGGTCTGGGCTCATTCCATGATGGTTCAATTCCATCTCCCATCCAATGAATTTTTCCACAGCATGAACATCGGACATGAAAATGGCGCGGTCGGACAGGCCAGGCTTAGCCTGAGGAAATTTCAGCGAACCTTCAAATGCTGTGATGATCTGACATTCTGTCACTGTGGAGAGAAATAGGAGAAGACCCTGTGAATAGGAGAAGACCCTTAGGCCTTCTCAAATAATTATAATTTTAAGCACATGAAACTAAAAAATAACAATAGATTAAAAATAATAACCAATTCGTAATGCTTTTGGTTGAGCTTCTTCTAATTTAATTAAATTTTCTTCACCAAGAAGATATACTAAGCGTACTTTTAATTTTAACATTTCCCTTTCCTTATATGCGCCAAAAGTTGCACGCAATGTTTGAGAACATCCAAATACCCATTCAAAATAATTAAGGTATATCCTTTTCTTAATTTTTTCATATTCCTCCATATTTTTGGAAATTTCCTGAATAGAATAAATTTTTTAGTTTTCTAAAACAATTTTTGTCTGTAGTGTAGTGTACCAGTGGTAAAAGTTCTGGACGTATAACTCGGTTCAGAATCATTTCCCCCATAATACAACATAGGGGACTCTGATTCTGCCGCTATTTATGTGAATCTATGCACCAACCCAATCAAAATCATTTAACTCAAATTGATTTAACACAAATTTCGCAACTTTATCCCGCGAACTAAATCCCCGATATCCACCTTAATCCTCCAAATCCACAATAACCCTAACAAATCCCCAGATTAAATGATTATAGAGAGGGATAACGAGGAGTTAGAGGTATATTGGGCACTATCTAATTCCTGTAAATCCGCATTAACCCCTCTAGATCCTCCCAAATCCACCAATATTTCCCCTAATCAGTTAAATTCACATTAATATCTCTAAATCCTTTGAATAAATACGTATAGATGAAAGATGACACCAAATTTTAATCATTTTCTATTAAAATAAGAAAAATTTCAGCGAAAAAACTAAAATTTGTCCATTTTTAAAATTTTGAAAAAAACCGGGTCCGGGCCCGGGTGTAAAAAAACCGGGTTTTCGAGTTTTCCGGGTTTTCGAGGTTTTAGCCCGGAAAACCCGGCCCGGGTCAACTTGGAAGAAAAAAACCCGGATACCGGGCCCGGCAAAGTGAAAATGTCGAGCTCTAATAATTATCCTATTTTCCTATGAGAACCCTGCCCTATAATAAATAGGTATATACTATGTACAAGACATTTTTGTTTAACTAAATTAACAAATTTAATCTCTTGATCCATAAGCAAATAACTTCTTTAGCTTTAGTTTTATCCGGACACCTTTGTAACAACAACGGTTTAAAAGGCTTATTTAAACAACAACCTAGCAGTATTCTTATGGACCTACTAACAACAAGCTCCACAAGTAATAAAGGCAGTGCTCGTATTTGAAGTCTTTTAGATCCGACTGCGTTCATTTCAAATTCTTGGCTCTGCCTCCGAGCCAGCTCCATTATTATTAATTATCGAATCTCATAAATATCGAATCCCATATAGGTATCTTATCTATGTTATAATAGCTCTACTTGTACTGTGTATTTTAAAATCATAGAAATATTACCATCTTCATTAGCTCGTTAACTAAAGTAATCCATTTGGGAATTTTTATATCCAATTGCTTCAAAATCATACTTTTTCCATCAAGCTTTTCAATAAAATCTCTCGCACCTTCAACCTTTATAATTTTCGACTTATTCCATTTGTCTTCAAATTCGTTTATGTCATTTATAAAAATTTCTTCTATATCCGGATTTAAATTTAAATTGTTAATTATTAGATCAGTAATTCCCTCATAGTAGTAAATAGCATATTTTATGAATAATTCGGGGTCAATATGTTCAGGTTTTTTGATTGCCAAACTTTCTATGGAATCAAAGATTGTATTTATCATATTTGGCTCTAAAAAGAAAATTATCACTTCATTTAAGTGGAGTGCTTCATTGTAATAACATGGAAGGTTATCTCTTTAAGACACATGAAAGAACAGAGGAATTAGACTATTAGAAAATAAATGGATAAGATTCTCATCAAATATCATATTTTGCTAGAGATCGGTTAACATTTATGATCTGAGAGTAAGTCTGTTATAGATCTGACAGCTGTTATTGAGTAACGTTCCTCAGCTTTATAAAAGAAAAGAAAAAGCCCAAAAAAATTTCAGTATTATCCGAACAAAAAGCTTTTTCTTCCTCCCCCTCCCCACTAAACTTTCCCATTTTTGTGTTGAATAAATATTTTGTTGATAGATTTGTTTAAAAGTTTTTAGTTAAGTTCAGGGACCGAACTCCCAGGGCGTCTCCCGAAAGTCTTTCGACCTTCGGGAGACCCAACCCTGGGAGGGTATCGATTTTTCTTAATAAAGTCTTTCATGATGATCTAAGAGTATTGATCTGACAGTAAGTTCTGTGAGATGATCTGAGAGATCTGAGAGATGATTGATCTGAGAGTCTTTCATGTGATCTAAGAGTATTGATCTGACAGTAAGTTCTGTTAGATTATCTGAGAGATCTAGAGATGATTGATCTGAGAGTAAGTCTTTCATGATGATCTGAGAGTAAGTTCTGTGAGATGATCTGAGAGATCTGAGAGATGATTGATCTGAGAGTCTTTCATGATGATCTAAGATATTGATCTGAGAGTAAGTTCTGTGAGATGATCTGAGATATCTGAGAGATGATTGATCTGAGAGTCTTTCATGATGATCTAAGATATTGATCTGAGAGTAAGTTCTGTGAGATGATCTGAGATATCTGAGAGATGATTGATCTGAGAGTTTGTCTTTCATGCTGATCTAAGAGTATTGATCTGAAAGTAAGTTCTGTGAGATGATCTGAGAGATGATTGATCTGAGAGTCTTTTATGATGATCTAAGAGTATTGATCTGAGAGTCTTTTATGATGATCTAAGAGTATTGATCTGAGAGTAAGTTCTGTGAGATGATTTGAGAGATCTGAGATATGATTGATCTGAGAGTAAGTCTTCAATATAAATATTCATCTTACCTTTTCCATAATTAGTACTAGGTGCCGGGTATTTTCGATAAACCTTAAGAATATTAAAAATATTTTAAGTTATCTAAATTTGAAGTTTTACTTTTTCGATTGTAGTGGTCAATGAAAATAATTCCATTCTTTTTAATACTGATAAATCTGCAATTTAAAAAATTAACTAGCTTTTATTCTGATATTAAAAAATATTTTTCTGATCTGGTACCATCAAGTCGGATTTGACGATTTTGGTGTCCTTCGACTAAGCTCAAGAGCTTTTCGAAGGGCATATGAATTGCCCTTTTTGAGCGAAGTACAGAAAGTGTAGTTTAGTCGAAACGGATATAAAGGTACGATATGAACTACATCGCGCCTGAATAGGGAGTTTGGCCGATTCGGCACCGACCCATTAAGTTTTAAGCGATCTGAAAAAGGGTAATATTTAACTAAGCGTACCCATTATTTTTTGTTTAAAATCCCCATTTTTCACCATCAAATCTCTGATTGTATTTTTATTCAACTCTCTAATATAGTCATCAATTGTATTCCCCTCCAGCATTGGATGATAGCTTGTTACTGCGTCTTCTTTATCCCGCTTAATAATTTTTTCCATATCATCTTTAATCAAATCGTATAATTTAAATATTTTCTTTTCTACTATTTTCCCTCTAATATTCTTTAGAATAATTAGAATTTTTTCTGCATTGTTCCAATTTATAACATCTTTATTTCCCGACATTTGGTCCATGATGGACAGAATTAGTGCTTTTAGAATCTTCCACTCCGTTTCATCGGCATACTTCAAAATATTTTTATCACACTCTCTTATTTGTATCAGAACAATTGATACAACTGTTCGAAGTTCGTAATTTATATATTCTGTCTCATTTAATAAGAGCTGGTAATTAGAAATTATCCAGTTATCCAGTTCCGCTGGTCCTAAATTTTGTTTAAAATTTTTGAGTAAATCCTTTTTTTTATTACATAATATTACCAGACATATGTATGTACATACAATAAATTTCTTAGAACCGTAAAACTAAAAATTGACCTCTGTGACATTTTTGACCCTCTCGATAGGGAAACAGGTTTAGTTATTGGAATGTACTAATCAGGGTGGGGGTGGGGCTATTATATATTCGATTATTAGTGCGGAGGGGGCTGGAACTAAAGGAACTACTATTTGTATTATGATATAACCGGATACCAATTATCTAAATATCATTCGGAATCTCAAATTCCTAATGATCCTAATATCCGGCCTTGGTATTAAAACCCTCCCACGATTCTAATTTCCGGTCTTTGTCTACAGAATATTTGATTTTTCAATATTTACTCTATTATTTCATTTTTCAATTTTTTGACCACTCCCATATTAATTAACCACTCCAGGATTAACTGAAGTAATTAATACGTTAACTCGTTAACTTTAATACCTATTTGTAAAAGATCGTAGAGATAGTCACTCGCTTCAAAAATATTTTCTCCTTCTGTCGATTTTGAACTAAACAGTTCTAATAAACTATATCTAGCACCATTATGTGCTTCAAAAAGTTGTTTTAATGGAACTATTTCAGGTGATTTAGCTCTCCACATTTTTAACAATTTTACTTTCATCATAGTTTTTTCGTCCTTTTCAAATTCTTTGACCTGCTTACCGCCAATTTTTTGATTTAAAAATTCTTTATGGTGATACATTTCTTGAGTGTTGAAATATTTATCGAAATATTTAAGGAATGAATTCTTCCAAATATTTTCAGAATTTATTTTATCAGCTCTCGAAATTGTACTGAATGCAGTAGAATTGAATAACATAAAATATTCTTTTGATAATTTACTATAATCTGGAACATTGGATAACAGACGGACAAAAAGCCGAATCTGTTCGCTTTCTTCTACAATATCTAAAAAATAATAGCGATGAAGTTTTCTAGAAATTTGTAGATGATCAGATTTTACGATATTAAATACTTTCTTACAGAATTCTCCCCTTTTTCGATTTTCCTATGGCCTGGAAGTTATTCGGTATTTCTCAATAATACCAAAAAAATAATATGAATTTGAATTGCTAAAAGTGGAGCAAAACGTCCAACATAAGTTCCTTATGAATAAAATTTTGGGAATCCTTATGAATATGAATTATGAATAAAATTACTTAGGTTGTGTCATAAATATTTAGCCCCCCTTAAATCATTAAAGTTTGAAAATGTATATCTCAAGGGGATTATCCTAAAGCAGCATAATGTTAGTCCCTATTTCACAAATGCGACCCTTCAAAAAACCAGCCAGTTGTTTTCCAGGGGAATTTCTTATATCATTGTATTCATCAGATTCTGCTCTATCAGAATCTATTTAAATTTTAATTCTTACTCATCAATTTTGAAAAGAAAAATCAAAAAGAATTTGCCTTGTTTCAATAATACACATTTTAGTATTTTACCTCTAACTCCGGCCAACCTAATCCTAGGATTCTGATTTTTTGCCAGAAAATAGGCAACTCTCTTAGGATCATAGAAAAATATAATTCGAAGTCTGAAAACATTTAGTTTAATTTTAATAAATATTTAATTTATTTTATCAAGGGGGGCTAATTATTTATGACACAACCTAAGTATGAATAAAATTACTTATAAAAATTTTCCTTATGAATAAAAATTGAGAATAAAAAATTTACAACTTTTTGCCTTATAAGAAATATTTATCATTATTTTGATAAATACCTAATCTAAACAGAAATGGATCCTTTAATTCAAACTTAGCAAAAAATAAATCTCCAAGCACATTTCTAATTTTCTTCTTTACTTCAAGAAGGGCGCCAATATTCACTTGACCGTTGTTCTGAGTTTTCATTGAATTAATAGCCTTTTTGAATAGTTCGGGAAGTAATTTATCCAATCTAGGATTAATTTATTAACGTATATCTTTCACAAATAAATTACTTATCAGACTCCGAACCTCTCTATTTGAATATTTTTTCTAGATAGTTTGGCGCCAATGTTATAAAAGTGTTTTAGAGCCCATATTCTACGAGAGAGAGGGTGGATTTATGGAATTTTAGCTTTAGAACATTAAACGACTTAAACTAAGTACCAGGGATGGGATCTTTTCCGCTTCAGCCTTCTACAGAATTCCGATTTATTGACGAACTAAGTACCATGGAAGGGCCTCTTTCGATTCCGCAAATTGCATCTTTTTTGGCCGTTCTGTTTCTGCGTTTCATCTACCGCATCTTATTTTGCTTCGTTTTCTTATGCCTTACATTTTCTGTTTAAATTGTGGCATCCCTGCTAAGTTCCAGTATATCCCCTGGAGTACTCAATCATTTAAATAAAATAAATTTGTTTAGTGAATTTCAACCTTTCAAAATGCAAGTTGGCTAATAATTGTTTAAAGTGTTCCTCTAAGTTGTCATATTCATCACCTCCAATCTCATATAGATTTGATTCGAGTGATTCAAACTCTTCATTGATTAATATATTCTTATTATTCAAGGGATTTTCCGAGGCTAAATTTTCAAAGAATTTTTCATATTCTAATAAATTCAACATAATCCTCCATTCAGTATCTATTTTGTCTTGATTCTCTTCCACAAATTCTTTATACACCAATTTAAAACTCTCTACAATTTTTTCAAATTCTTTTTTCTCTTTTTCATTGACCGCTTCTTCGGACAAGCCTTTAACAGCTTTTTTCGGCAATTTTTTGTTTGCCTCAATTTTCTTTAAAGCAGCATTAATCCTCTCGTTTAACAAAAATGCCGTGTTTTTTCGTATTAATGTTTTCCAATTTTCTCCGTTTTGCTCTTTATCACTTCCAAAGAATGCCTGTTCATAATTATTGCCAAGATCATTTTCTGTTATTCCAGCTAAAGAATCAAAATTTATGCAAGTATGAACATATATGTAGAATTATGTTTTATTACGGGATCCGTTTCCTAAACACGGATCCTAAATCCGGAATAAATAAAAATTTGGAACCGTCAGGCCCTGTTAATGTTTAATTTTTTTGAAACGAGATGTCTCCATGTTCGAGATCTCTATGTTCGAGACAACAGTTCCTCGACAAAAATAGATGTACAGTTGATTTGAATCATCATTCATAGATTACCACGAAGGTATGACATAACTTAAAGTTATGAACGTCTAAAAAATGACCTACTATCTTCTAAACTAATTTTGGAAATTAAAGACTAATTATAACGAAAATTATTGTTTTGTCCCTAATTGCTCAATGGATATGGATAAGAATGAACCAATCACTCGGAGAGTCTTGATTGGGCCTTTCAGTGATAATAATATATATTTCCCATATTTTTCTCAGACTGATTATAATAATTATTATAAATTACCAAACGATGTTGTGATCGTTTTCGACGTGCTAGCCGTTACCTTTTTTGATTTTGGTTTGGCAAATATTTCAAAATTGAAATATGCATATAATAAAAGATTTAAATAAAGTAATTTTAAAAACATCTAAAATTTAGTTAAAGTTATCCCCTTTAAACAAGGCCCTTGCGTTTTAGGTTTAAGCCTCTCTCAATAAGCTGCTTTAATTAAACGGTAACGTGCTAGAGATCCGCAGGATCCCTAAAATTCATACTCCCCTTACTTGAAAATAATTAGAGTGGATATTTAGAGTTGATTGTTTAAAGCGGAGAATTATGTTTTAAATTTAAAAAATAGGGCTTAAATTTTATTTAAAATTTAAAAAAGATTTAAAAGGCAATAAATGTCTGATTTATATTTTAATAAAGGTGAACATAGCAGCTTTTTTAAAAGTCTAGGCAAAGTGCATTTTAGAGAGTATACTATGTTATTCTTATTATTTCTTAATATATTTCACAATTTAAAATTAAATAATTTTGCCGACAAAAATACAGAATTTAAAGCGCATTTCAAAGTGCATATAAACATTTTTAGAAATAATAGTTTTAAAAATCTGAAGCAATACTTCACCATGCGTTAAGCGGTCAACTTGCATGGAGTTGCCGCTCATAGCGCTCCTAACTGGGATCCGATGAGCGGCAAGCAAAAGATATCCGCTCGATATTTCTGCTTTTCAGCTAGAAGGGGGACAAGTATTCTTAATATTTACTTCTTTAAATGTTCGTCAGTTATTATTAGAAGATGTTAATAATAATGAATTAGAAATAATGAAGAAATAAATATTAATAATAATTTAGAAGAAATTGAAAATAATATAGATTGAAAATAATTTCTGAAAAAAAATTTAAAAAAATAATCTCTGAAAATAATCTCTCAATAAGCTGCTTTTTTAACGGTATCGTGCTCGAGATCCTCAACATCCCCAAAATTTATATTTAGTTTACTTAAAAATAATTAGAGTGGATATTTAGATTTAAATGTTTAAGGGGATAATTATTTTTTAAATTTAAAAAATAGGGCATTAAATTTATTTAAAATTAAAAAAATAGTTTTAAAAGGCAATAAATGTCTGATTAAATATTTTAATAAAGGTGAACATAGCGGCTTTTTTAAAAGTCTAGGCAAAGTGCATTTTAGAGAGTATAAATGTTATTCTTATTATTTCTTAATATATTTCACAATTTAAAATTAAAATTAAATAATTTTGCCGACAAAAATACAGACGTTAAAGGGCAATAATTCAAAGTGCATCTAAACAAATTTAGAAATAATATTTTTAAAATTAAATATTTTTAACTCTAAATGTTTTTTTAAATATAACCGTAAGGGGACCTCGAGTTTTACATCGCATATAGGCCCTAAATTAGTTGTATACCCCCCCCCCCCACAAATTTTAACATTCTATTTTAACACCATCACAACCCCATTCATTCGCAAACTCGATCACTACTCATACCCATTTATTCGCAAACTATCAAACACTCCATTTATTCGCAAACCCTATTACAATTCCATTTATTCGCAAAATAAAAATTTATTTTAAATTTTATATTCTGAGTTTATATAATATAAAAATATTTTCTTGGATTTACAAATGGGCAACTTTTGCCCGCTTGCTCAGTTCCGGAAAATGCTGTTAGGTCAGTAAAACATGTTCGGCCTTTAGTTTTTAGACGTTAGTTTAATTTCTCTATAATAATAAAATTTAAAAAATAGAAGTTTTAAAACAGTTTTTAAAGCAATAACTCCTCCAAGCGACGAGAGACAGGAAATAAGGGCAGCAAGAAATAGGCAAATGTAGCAACAACAATAACAACAGCAACAAAAACAACAACAAAATCACCATTTAAATGATTTAAATGGTTTCAATGATAATAATGAATGTAAATATTAAATTATTATAAATAATTTATTTTTAAATAATTTAAATTCAATTTATTGTTTGTATTGTTAAGAATTTTGATGAAAGTCAAAATTCGGTCCTATAACGGACAGGTCGAGGAGAGATTTTATGTGAGTCCATCCAAATTGTCCACTTCTCCATCGTGAAGTGGTCAACTTGGATGGAGTTGCGCTCATAGCGCTCCTAACTGAGATCCGATGAGCGGCAACAAAAGATATCCGCTCGATATGTCTGCTTTCCAGCTAGAAGGAGGCCAAGTATTCTTAATATTTATTTCTTTAAACATTTTTTTCCTTTTTCGTCAGTTATTATTAGAAGATGTTAATAATAATAATAATGAATTAGAAAATAATGAAGAAATAAATATTAATAATAATTTGGAAGAAATTGAAAATAATATTAGAAAATGAAGAAATAAATAATAATAATTTGGAAGATGTGATTAATATAAGAAAATGAAGAAATAAATAATAATGAATTAGGAGGAATGGAAATTATTGAGGAAAATAATACTTTTTTAACGGTAACGAGCTCTCTATCCTCAAGATCTCCAAAATTCATATTTCGTTTACTTAAAAATAATTAGAGTGGATGTTTAGATTTAAATGTTTAAAGCGGAGAATTATTTTTTTAATTTAAAAAATAAGGCATAAAATTTTATTTAAAATTTAAAAAATAGTTTTATAAGGCAATAAATGTCTGATTAAATATTTTAATAAACGTCAACATAGCGGCTTTTTTAAAAGTCTAGACAAAGTGAATTTTAGAGAGTATATGTAGTATGGATATTTTTTAATATATTTTACAATTTAAAATTAAAAAATTTTGCCGACAAAAATACAGACGTTAAAGGGCATTATTTCAAAGTGCATATAAACATGTTAAGAAATACATAATATTTTTAAAATTAAATATTTTTAACTTTAATTAATGTTTTTTGAATATAACAGTAATGGGACCTCGAGTTTTACATCGCACATAGGACTTACAATCGGTTGTATTCATTACTTGGAGTTTTGATAATAAATCCCCTCGTTTGTTAACATTGTTAATAAATAGAGCTGTTTATAAATTTAAATTTTCAAGGGATTTTTTCTTCAATTTTATATTTATGAAATGTGATATTTTCCATTACCTTTTCTTGATTTCTTGAAAAATTTGAGTTTTTTGCCAGAAGGAATATTTTGGCTCAAGGATCTCCCTAAATTCCCACAATTTTCGCCTGAGATGCATTAAGTAAGGAACTTTGTCATAATTTAGTTTCAGAAATCCCCAATAATTCTTTCGATATCTTTGGAATCCCCCGACAATAATTTTAATTTTTTAAATATTTTAATTTTTTAATCCCCCGACAATATAGCGTTGTCTCAAATCTTACTCATTATCCGCCCAAATCCCACAATAAATCTTATTCATTGATTTTCTAACCCGAGTCAGGAGCCAATGTGGGAATTTTCAAAAATATCGTCTTCGGAATAACCGCTAATTTCCGAAATATAAAAAAGCATATAATTAAAAAAAATTAAATTGTAAATAAAATTTATAAGCAAATTTAAATTAAAATAATAAAAATTAAAATTTAAATTTAAATTTATTTATATTTTAAAACAAATTAAAAAATTTTTATAAAGGGCATGTAGGTGAGTGAGAGGCAAGGAGCTTTGTATACAATCTTTAAAATTGCCCTTTCTAAAATAAATCAAACTACAAAATTTATTAGTGAAAGCGCCTGATTTGGCAATTATGCGATAAAATGCGAGTAGACAGATGAATGTTAAGAAATAATAAGTCAAACATATGTTTACAACAAAAACATCTAGAGAAGTTTTACTTAAACAAAACAACATTCTGTATAGAATAATGAGATCAGTTCAGTATTTTCAGCTTTATAGTCAAATTAGTCTGAAGCTAATACGGGCCTTTATACTAGGTTGGGCGGGATTGGGATCCCGAACTAGAATCGGTATCTGGAATTTGGATCCGCGGTCACGAATCGGGACTGGGATTTAAAAATCACTAAAAAATTTTTATTTTTATTTTCCACACATATGACAAGTGATGTAAAAGTTCATAATTTCTCTGGAACTAGTTCCAGTTCCAGAACTAGGTTTTTAATTTTAGTAGTTCCAGTTCCATAACCAGGTTTTTAATTTTTGTAGTTCCAGTTCCGGAACTCCATTTTTTAAATTCCTTAGTTCCAGTTCTGGAACTAGTTCCAAGCTAGTTCTAGTTCCAAATTTTTAATTTTTTTCGAATAAGAAAAGATTTATCAATTTTATTTAAAAAATCATTTAGTGTGCGGCAAAATCGCACTTTTTTTTCAAATTTTTTACGGGACAGGATGCCGCGGGGATAATACAGTAAATCCCGTTCTAAAATTTACCGGGATTTTTGATTTTTACATAATAGATATCGGGGAGATATGAGGATTTCAAGGGATTAAGGGATTTACTTATAAAAGGATATCTGGGGATATTTGTGGTGATATCTGGGTTATAAGAGGATTTTGAGTGATATCGGAGGATTAAAGGAGATTGGAGGATAAACTGGAGGATTAAGAGGCCAAAAAATTCATTTTTAAGCGCCACAGGCGAAAATTTTGAGAATTTCTAAGGTCGTAGGCCGAAAAAATTCACTTTTTCAGCGCCGAAGCGAAAATTTTTAGAATTTTGGTGCTCAAGCAGCCAGATTTCTTCCATACTCAGCGCGCTGGAGGTAATTTTCGAGGAAAGTTTGTCAAAAATATACCCCCAAGAACTAGTTCCAGAACTAGTTCCAAAGCTAGTTCTAGACATTTACTAGTTTAGTAGTTCCAGGGCCAAGCTAGTTCCAGGCATTTACTAGTTCCGTAGTTCTAGTTCCAAACTTGTTCCAGATAATCGTTAGTTCCGTAGTTCTAGTTCCGGAACTGGAACTACGATAATCTGGACAAGAGTCAAATATTTTTGATTATTTCTGAAATTATATCTTACCCATATCAAAAATTCACTCAATTATTTTTCTACAAATTCCATTATGTTCCCTTCATGTAAAAACTACTTTAACAAAATTAGCGCAAATTAATTTTGTGTCGTCGTCACTTTTTGAGAGAGAAAATACCGGAATTTTACGTCATTGACTGAAACACATTAAAAATAAACTGCTCAATGCAGACGCGAATTTGAAGAAAATTTACTTATATTTACGTGAAATTGACCAAAAATTTTTGATTTAAATATACCTTACCCTCACTTTTAATTGATTTATTTAGTTGGACTATTTAAACTGATAAAAAATTTTTCCTTTGTTCAATTAAATTATAAAATTCCTTTCATTTTTTGTAAGCACCTTTCCATTTTTATTTTTTCTTTAAATTTAATAAGTTTCTTTATTAGTGATCGGTATTCCTTAACGTATACTGATACGGAATACCAATAAATACCGATAACAAAGGACGTAGTACGGTATGGTCCGATCACTAGACTTAATCTAAGTTCAAGTTATTGTGCCTACTTTTTTGACAACACTTTGTTCAAAATCTCTATATTTATTGAGGTTATCATTGAGGTTTAGTCTCTCCCTTCACCCTTCACACTCCATACAAGTTTAATTAGTTAGACTGATTTAATTTCCCTTGGAGTGGATTACTAACTGCCCCTGGGGCCTTTAGATCAAGGTCCCACACCTTTCGATCATGCTTAATGTCAAGGACATTAAGTTCTGTATGTATATGTTTGCATTACGAGTATCAAGTTATTTTATCTGTGAAATTTTGAACTATGTCTAACTGATCACGTCAAACTCTTGGCGAGATCTCGTCGAAAATCTTGGTTATATAGATCGAGATTTGCCGAGATATCGCATAAAATTATTTTTGAAAGCCCTATAACGACAGTCCAAGCCTGGGTGTATGTATAACCTCAACAATTTTTATTTTCAATTTAAAATGTATATTGTCCCCTTCTCTTCAAATTTAAAATTCAATCACAAACATAAACATTTTTTGCCTAAAAATTGTTATTATTTTGGAATTTTTTCTTATCATTAAATTCACATTCAATTCATCTTCCATCATTTTTCTTCCATTCCATTCATTTATTAACCGGTGAAGTCATTAAAATTACTACACATCATATGTTGTTCATCATAAGGTCGCGCATTAAATATGTGTGGTGTGAAGTTTTTAATGACGATTGCGTTTGTTGAAGGCATTTTGGCGCAGATTTTTGTTAAATTTTAATTTTTAAATTTAATCAACATTTCAATTTTTAAAATTTTCTAAGTAAAAAACCCTATCAGACATCTATAGAATTTTTATTTGCCTAAAAGTTACGGCCAAACAGAAAGTTAGCATTATATTTTAGGGAGCTACTTACAGATATTTAATCTTCGTTAATTAATTTTGCCTCGCTAAGAAAATTTTTAAAATTTTTTCCGTAATTTTCCCATACAGTCATATGAACTTTAAAATTTTTGAAAATATATTCAGGTGATATAGTATGATATGAATTTATTTACCGTGTTTGACACTCTCTAATACTTAATTTACTATCCCAAAGATGTTTTTAAAATATCGGAGACATAACCGAACGAGAGAGAGGTAATCGAACAACTACGGTATAGGTATATCCGCGTTGATGCTCCTTCCTATGTTGGGGCCCGGTCCTGTCCGATCCTAAAGATAGAGTCGGGCATCGAAAATGGTCGGGCCGGCCCGATAAAAATAAATGAAGCCCGAAATAGACTCGGTCGGGCCAGCCCAAACAAATGAGGCCCGAAAAATGACTCGAATTGGGCGACTCGAATAACACAACCCAACTCCTTCCTTTTAAAAATCTGCCTAATTAATTGCCTAGCATGTTAATAAAAATGGCACAAAAATAAAAGTTCGCCAGTTTACCAAGTTAAACAAAGAATCAAAAATACGACGCCAAAAAATTCGCGCCCAAAAACCTCTCATTAATTAATGTGGGTAGGGAATGGATTGATGGTCCGTCCTGTCCGTCCATATTTTTTGTAATAAATATATAAATTAATAAATCCAAGCAAGCCTTTGTCAGAAAAAATTAAAAAAAAATTTTTTCTTATCACTTTTTATCATTAGTTAAATTTCGTCACAATTTTCACGTCACCGACGCTAGACGCTAAAATAATTTTTTCATTCCTTTCATCATTTTCCCCTTATTTTTAACAAATTTTTTTATAATTTTTGACTAGAAATTAAAGATTAAAATAATTTTTCTGCTTAAATAAAATGAGAAAAAATTCCGCGTAACACTTGATAATTAATTTTAAAATTATATTTTAACCCTAATTAATTAGCTATTAATTTAAGCCTTTGTTTTTTTTGTGAAAACAAGGTTATATTTTTTATTTAAAGTATAAATATTTTTTAATATTTTGGTTTAGCTTCATTCTAAAATTTTTAACATTAATTTATTCAAAAAACTTAGTTTTTATACAGAATATACCCTAGAGTTGGGCGGTATCGAGATCGGTATCATCATTCCAAAATACCGATACCGATTTTGTTTAGGGATCCAAATACCGCCCAACTCTAATATACCGTATTTGCTCTATTAATCCCCCAGTCTTTATTAATCCCCCAGGCTCTATTAATCCCCCACCCTCGAGATGGGTTGAAACAATAATCCCCCTGGGGGATTACTAGAGCAAATACGGTACTCGAAGCTTTATAGAAGGCTTCGAATTTAATTACTAATATCGTCTTACGTGTTCTCAACAGCCTAAATAATAACAAATAATTTTATAATCTTTACATGACACATAATTGTTTCCAAGTGCCTTTAAGGGTCAGACCGAACTGAATGTCCAAGGAATTTTTCAGCTTATTTACGCACTCCGAGAATTTTCTAAGGAATGCTTAGTCTAGCACATGCTAATCCACCTAGAAAACCCTAGAACTTAAGTTTGATCTAAGTGATACCCTGCCTCTCTCCTATCTCGATATCAGAGTTATGGTTATCCAAACACTCGTAAAAATATTCCGATCGAGCTCAAAGATATCTCTCTTTAAACATCGAGAACTGCCTCTCTCCTATCTCGATATCAGACATGTCGTATCTCCTAAGAACTCTGTCATGCTTTTTCTCGAAAATTTTAATTCTCTCAAAAGAGGCATTCACTAATTCTCTCATACCGTAATAATCCCCACCGATATCAACTTTAATTTTAATTATTTTTAGCAGATAAATGAGATTGAACAGGAATTATTTAATTTCTTCTTTTTCCCCTTCAATAGCTTTTAATTTTTTAATTCCATTAATTCTGCTCTTAATTATATTTAATGATACAAATTCATCAGTATTTCCAAACAGACTGCAAGCAGATAATGTATTATTAAAAGCACAAATGAGATTTAAAAGAGGTGCTTTTTTTTTTGATAAAATCAGATTTAATGTATAAATTGGACCAAACCTTTGAGCCAAACGTTCAAAATCGTTCACACTAAAAAACCAAGATCATGTTTAAGGTTGAGAAATCGGCGATATTCTCGACTCTTGACCAAGGAAAAATCATATTAAATTAAAGTTTTGTCATTTAATGGATTAATACTCACTTAAGTCAACATTTTTAAATCTGATTTCCAGGGGATGAGGTTTGATCTAAGTGATACCCTCAATATTTTGCCTCCAATTCATCTATGTATTAAACAATTCTAAAAAATTTACGCTAATAATTTTAGATTTTCAACTGCCTTTACAACAAAATGAATCTCCAAATATTGATATAACACGATCAAAGAGAGGTGATTAATATTCAATGATGTCACAGTTCATTCTAAGTGTTTATCACTAGAACTGTCACATCATTAATATTAAAATAAAAATGTGAAAATGACAATAGTCCTTTTAAATTTCGATTTTGCTTGTATTAGACGCGGACGAGGGTTCGAGTGCAAGTAAAAAATTTTAGTACCCCATCTAAACATTGATAACAAAAATATATTTTTTCATTTTATACCCTTTTTCCTCCCATTTTATGAAGGTTATTTTGGTGGAGGCGTTATGGCTCAAAAAGCTCGTATTGGCACAGAAGTTGGGTACGTGTGTGGAAAACGGGGGGACAACAAAAAGTTGAACAGAATGGAGAGGTAACGACAATTGTGCCAACAAGCAGTTCAACAACCCCTTCAACTACCACAACAGCTATTGAGCTCGAAAGCTTTAGAATGCTCCAATTGGATGAATCGACTTCTCATTTTGATGAAATTCCAAAGATGGAAGAAACTAAGGAGTGATTTTTATGTTTATTAGAAAGTAGGTTGATCTTTGGTCAAGGAGCATGGCCTCGATTGAGGTCACACTTAAAGCGCAACTTCGAAGTTTGGGAGCAGGCCAAGGTGCCGCAGAGCCATAACTTCGTTCAAAATTGTCGGATCGGGACGCCCTGGTATAGTTCGACTCTGCTCGTGACGTGATCGAGCTATGCCAGGGTGTTCTGGATTCGAAGTTATAACTTTGAACGAAGTTATAACTCTGCGGTACCTCGGTGTGTGCCCTCAAGTTTATAGGGGAGGACCTTCACCTTGGTTTCGAGCACCAAACTTCAAGGGGATTTCAAATATCTACGAGTGCCTCTCCTCTATAACTCTCTCTTGACCAACGCACAATTAGATTAGTGTTTTGACATTTAATGAATTATTAAAATTTATTTAAAAATTCATTTAAACTGTGATAAAATATACAATAAAATTAATAATTAAATTTCTAATTGTGTTCACATTCTACGACTACTTAGGGCCATGTCTAATAGATCTTACATTCTTGAGCATTAATACTAGGGTTGTACCCCGAACGCTCGGGGGCGGGTATGTCGGAGTACGGGGTTTTTGAGTTGTTTCGGGGCGGGGTTCGGGTAGAGGAGAAACGTGAAAAAATCGTCCGGGAACGGGGTCGGGGTACAACTCGAACCTCTAGTCTTAACTTTTTCCATATTTTCTCTGCCTTCTTCCAATTTATTCATTGCTGAATGTATTCTTAATCTTGTTCGAGTTTCAAGTCCATATCCTTTATAAGCCAGAGCCTTTTCTAAAAGAACTACCTTTTTAAGTTCAGAAGGATTAATTTCATTCAATATTAGTGCTAGTTCCAAATGAGCAATGGGAAATAAATATCCGTATTGGCCGTGACGAAGTGCTGGGGATTCGCTGAAACTTGAATTATTAATTTGGAATTAATAAATTTGTGCTAGTTATAATCTCAATGTAGATACCCTCATGATTTTGATTATACCCACGTTTAATGAGCAGTTATAGCTAAACTTTATCAAAATTACAGTAAAAAGATATCTTATAAGTGAAATGAAGCCCTCCGCTGAAGCATGGTCCCTTGCTTAAATTGAACATCCTTAGGAAGGATAGCTGAAACTAGACTCGATCAAGACGAAACCGATACCGAGACCGATACCGAGATTCTCGGTTTTTTTTCCAATATCGGTCTCGGTATCGGGTTCTTGAGTATCGGTCAATCTTGGTCTCAGGTTGCCCGATACCAGTATCGTTTCGATCAACTCTAGTTGAGACATAATTCCAACAGGGGACATAATTCCCAATAATTGCCCTACTCTTGCTTAACTTAAAACCCTTCAGTAGGAGTTAGAAAAATTCCCGAGAATTGCCTTAAGGACACCCTTATAACGAGAGTCAGCAACTTAGAATTAATTACCTCCGAATTATTTTTTGAAATATTCCAAATGCCTCGTGAAACTCTCCCAGCTTTCCCAGACATATCGCACGTAGAAATAGCCAAAGCAATTGTTCAACTTTAGCACATTTATTGGATATTGTAGCCCCTTTGTTAAACTCTTCCCATTCTTTGTCAATAAATTCTAACAATGGGCGAACAATCCAAGGACAGCAATAATTATTTAATAATCCAAAACCGCTGCACAAATAAATTAATTCCTTGAGTATTTTAGAAATTTTCTAGACTTTAAAATTTACTAACGAATTGTGGCAGAAATAGCCTCCGTGGTTCTATAGAATCTTTGTTATTGTTGTTCATTTGAAGCCATTTTAGAGCTCGTTTTTCACAAAATTTTTCCATTGGAATTGACTTACCAGCTATTTTTATACGATTTTCGGGTACCTTGCTTTAATTATTTTGTACTTTTTAAGGCTATGTAGATCGTAGCTAAAATTCTGAGTAGGTTTATAGACCTCTACCCTAAACTCAATTCTTTCATACAGTAAGAGCGAGGTAAAAGTTTAATCCCGGGCAGGCATATCCTGCGACCTCCGTGCTAGGCGCTTTCGCTCACCACGTACAGGTGCTCTACCAACTGAGCTACCTTGACGCTGCTTTCACCTTCTCTTTTAATAGATCTTAAATTACTAGGAGTAGAACTCGACTACTTATTATAAGTAATATTAACCTCATTAAAATTCTAACTGCTTCATTCTAGAATTTAAAATGCAAAATTATTTTAGCTAAAAATTTCTATATATTATATACATTTTTTGAAATATCACCACTTTTATCAGCCTCAATACATACAGCCAAAAGATAGGCATAAATAGCTTTAAGAAAATAATATTTTTCTAAATTTTAAAATTAATCATAACACACATTTTGACCATTTACTCTCTTCATAAAGTTTATTGGCGTGCCAAGCTGCCCTAGTCCAATGCAATAGAAAGATATTTGTTACAGCCAATTCCCAATGGCAGATATGGTGAAATTGTTTATATTCTGATTGGGAACGAATTGAACGCCAATAAAGTTGAACTGATTCGTCTATATGCCCTCCATTCAATAGACGGTAGCGAGCGCGCAAGAAGAGAATTATGGCACCCTAAAGACTTTCTTTTAAAATGTTAATGTTTTGGCGGAAAAAGGAGAATTTGAAATATCATAGCAAAATATCATAGTTTCCGTTTATGCCTTAGATTGTATAGCTTCCATTTTGTTAGATTCGATACACCAAAGGGTACCGCAAGCCCAAGGTACCGCAGAGCTGTATCTTTGTTCAGAATTGTCAAATTCGGGGTCCTGGTATGGTTCGATGCGCCTTGACGAGCTGAAGCAAACCATACCAGGACGTCGCGGATTTTACAATTTTGATCGAAGTTATAGCGCTGCGGTACCATGGGCTTGCGATACCTTGGCCTGCTCCAGTTTTATTTTATTTCGAATTGGTATCTGGAAGTATCTGGTCTGTCATGCTGATCGAAAATATAAGCTCAGATCAGAATTCTTAATAATGGAGATTAGAGACTTGGCTTGGTGATTGTGGCTTGCGATACTCGAGATCTCCTCATTTTTGATCTACCAAAATCTTTCCCAAAAAGGACCTTACTTTTGAATATTTTCCATTCAATTTAGTAAATATCCTTTCACACAACCCCAAATCTATTCTTTCAACTCCAATAAGAGCTACTACAACTAGTTGATAGAATAATATGGAAAATGAAGCGAAGGGTGATCGTAGAGTGCCATCAAATTTTGAGCACTATTAAAATATTGGTGTTTTATTTAACTAAGGATAAGAATTTAACCTTGATAAGTTCTGAAATCCCTTTCTCCTGAAATAAAATAGTTAATCACTAATGATTTTTAGTTAAACCATGTTCAGATGCTTTTAGAGATCTTGAAAGCCTCGCTGAGGCTAAATCATCTTCATAACTGAATTCAACTGGTAAATGTCCAGTTGACTCCCCACCTGTCCGCAAAGAGAATACGCACTTTTCACTCCTTTTCTTGCATTTTTTTCTGATTGAAGTGGCGCCCATTTTTCCCTTATAGTATGCCGTAGACTCATGGAAAGATATGTAGAGAATAATAATAAAGCAATGAGTAAGGTCAAAACCTGTTAGTCCCACTTATGCCCTGGCAGTTAAATTTACATCCAAATCTCTATCCCACTAGCAGGCGGCTTTAAAATTTATAAGATCACCTTGTCCCCATTTAGCCCAGCTAATTGCAAAAATATTGCAAGCTTTGCAGGAATTGAAGCTAACAATAAATTAAAAAGACCAAACCCAAAGCAAACACCTGCCTCGAATTCTTGCCACAGTAACGAATTATTTCTAGAGTCTTCATTTTCCTCTAGAAACCGATAAAGTCCACTGATTAATTTTAAAAATTAATGAAGTATAATTAAATTTACGAGTAAATACTGAAGCAGGATCGAATGCGCAATAAGCCGCCTATTTTTCCAGTTAATGTTTCATCGGATAAAAGGCACAAACTTTAAAATTTATTTTAATTATAAAATTTGTCAGATAAGGGTGTTTACATAGCCCTAATCATTATCAGTTCTGCATAGCACAATTCGGCGTGTAATTGTTCTAAAAATTAATATTTTTAATAAATTTTTATGTCGATGCCAATTAAATATAATAATAATTACAATGATATTTATAACCTTCAGTATAATCACAGAAATTATAGTTATAACCATTCATTCGAAATATCAATTCTCTAAAATTATGTTTAAATTTTTGCCTAATTTTTGGTTAAGATAAAATAGTTTATTCTTATAAGTAGGGTATCAGGGCCAGGAAATTTTCTGATATCCGAAACCGAACTGAACCAAAATAATCCTCGGTTTTTCGGAGGATTTCAACCCTACTCATAATTAAAGTTTGAAAAAATGTTTATCTGTTGTCCCCTCTCATATCAAGAGCAGGCTAACGTACCGCGAGGCCAACGTACCGCAGATTTATAATTTCATTCAAAATAGTCGAATCCGGAACGCCTTGGTTATACCTCGAGATATAACAAATTATAGCTCGTTGGCCTCGCGGTACGTTGTGTTGTAACCCTCTGATTACTCTCTATCTAGGTCCCGTTGATCATAATTACCCATTCTAAGGTAACCTGAATTAATTAGCCTATCCTTTTTAGGTTAGTCAGAATATATTCGCCAGTTCAGAAACAAAGTTAAAAGGTTTTAATAAAGCGATTCTTACATTGTTCGACACTGCTTCCCTCTAAATTTTTGAATCAAGCAAAGGCCCCTATCAATAGCTTCAATTGCTTTATCAATATCATTCCTTTCGAAGCTCATCAAGGCTCTAATCATTAATAATAAACCATTCCCCAATGAATGGTATATTGAACAATCTACAAACTTTGCCAGCTTTTTCTCAGCCAAATCGAAACGATTTTCCAAAAATAAATTTAATGCGAGTTTGGATTCTTCGATAGAGTTTAACAGGTCCATTTATACAAATTTTAAGCTTATTGAACAATAAAAACGTTAAATAATATTTTTAGTAAGTTAATAATGAAGCCAGAAAATGACTTGCTTTAATGTCATTTCAAATACTAATTTAAATAAAAACGAGAGACAATTAGTATGAGAAGTGAGAACTATTAAAGACAATAAAAAAACGGTTGGCATAGTAGCACTCAATTACCTAACTTAGTTATACGATTGTACGTATGAGGAGAGCAGTCAGCTTTTAAAAAGGTCTAGGAGTTTAACAAGCTATTAGTAAGGTAAGCTATGAGTAAGAGGCAAGCTATGAGTAAGGTAAGAGGCAAGCTATGAGTAAGAGGCAAGCTATGAGTAAGGTAAGAGTAAGGTAAGCAGGATAAAGCGGAATTTGATGAGCTTGAGGTACCGAGTAAGGTTGGCGGATAGTTGGAAATCTTCGGATATCCGGATCCTATATCCGAACCGAAAATTCGGATATCCGGATCCGGATATTTTCGGATACGGATATCCGGATCCGCCAACCTTAGTACCGAGGGTTGATTTTTGTTTGGCAGCTAAACTTTTGATTAATTTTTAAACTCGAAAATTTTTAAATTTATTGAACATCAAATCATGAAATTTAATGATTCAAATTTTTTAATTTAATAATTCATATAAAAATTTAAATATGTGTAATAATATCCTTTAATCCCAAAATTATGGCTCTTTCATATTTACTTTATAATTGCCTCATTGACGATTATGTATTGGAGGAGGTTTATGAACGTCCTTGTAATCTGCATTTTCACTGGAATTAAATATAAAAAATTTATTATATTCAAAGCTTAAAGAAAAATTTTCATAATAGAAAAGTAGTAAGAAAACCAGGCATTATAGCAAAATTTACGAGAATCATATCTTAATGGTTCTATGGATACAACTAGACCCTGGTATATATATCAAGGACGAGGGAATAACGAAAAACTTTGATCAAACACTGGTTATTTGAGGGAAAAATGAACTGTAAATCCGGTCCTTCAAAGACCTAGCATATATAGCCCGAGGTATTCATCTACCCCAATTATATCGAGTCGAATTTGATTTGCGAAAATCCAATAACGCTGAAAATTAACCGAGACTGATAATCTCGATCCGGTAATTGTCCGGTTGGCGGTTTACATGTCCGCAAAGAGAATCTGCTTTTTTCTTTCCTTTTCTTGCAATTTTGCGTTAGGAAAAGTGCTCGCTTATTTTTCCTTTTCCTTGTTAATATGCCTAATGAAAGAAAAGAGTGAAAAGTAAAATAATAACAAATAAAAATGTAGTTTGTGATGATCAATGATTAAATTAAAAAATTGAGGACTTGGCTTGGTTCCATAAAATAAGTGTGTATAATAGAGTTCATTTAAACATTTTTCTTAATAAATAACAATAAAATATGCCCGTTTCGTGCCCTACAAATAATACCTCAGTAGAAAAATTCTGGATCCCATTGTTCGACGATCAAACTCTTGATCTTGAATCAAAGAAAAAGTCCCAATTGCTAGTTATTGAATATCTACAAGGTTTTCAATTATTGAGGACTGAAATGATCTGCCATAAATGCAATACCAATATGAACATAAAATGGGTCGATGGGTATTTTTGGAGGTGAATTATCATTTTAAAACAATGAATAAATTTTTTTAAACAATGGATAAAATTAAGGTGTCCAAAAAGATCATGTCAGACTAAAGTTTCAATTCGAACAGGCAGCGAATTTTTTTCGTTTGCAAACAACAAAAACAAGCTTTCGCTTTACAGAATTCTTAAGCTTTTAGAGTACTACTTGATGCAAACCCCTTTGTTATTTTCAGTGCAAAAGCTTGATCTTAACAGAAAAACTGTATACGATTGGCGTTCGCTTTTTCGAGATCTACCATATATTCTGTTTGATCGTGCAGAGCCTATGGGTGGAACGGGTGAAATTTGTCAGATAGATGAGATTCTGTTAAGAGGGAAAAGGAAAAATAATAAGGGGCGATTAACAATTGGGGATTTAGAGTCAAAAAAGCAAAAAAGTGATGAAGAAATAGAAGAAAAGGAAGAAGAAGAAGAAGAAGAAATTGAAGCCCTTGGATTTTTGGGATTTCCTGGTACAAAAGTAATGAATGGAAATTAGATAACCAAAGAGGGTTTGTGCTAAGTGAAAACCTTTTATTATATTATTTAGATCTGAAACTCGTTTTTTTTATGTCAATAGAAGGGATAAAGCTACCCTTCATCCACTTATTGAAAGGCACATTGCCAAAGGAACAGAGGTTCATAGCGATGAGTGGCGTGCTTATTCAGGTACATTTATTCAATTAGGCTTTAAAAAGTATCATTAGGTTTGGATCAATTGGATTATATTCATAAGACGGTCAACCATCAAGAATTTTTTATTAATCCGAATAATGGAGCAAATACTCAACAGATAGAGGCTTTTTGGAACAGATTACGCTTTAGAATGGTTCGTCAGATGAGACATATAACTAAGAACGAATTACCTAAGTATTTAACCTTTTATTGGTTTTTGTCACTTCATTATAATCCCATAAAAGGTTGTTATCCACCCGACATTTTAGAAAGCTATTTGAGAATGTTATCCAAAATCTATCATTTGTAAATAAATATTTTCTAAATTAGATGTAAATTTTAACTTAATGTTAGTTTACAAGTAGCAAAGGAAAACATACTGTATTGAGAAGTATTAATGTCAGGAGAAGGAAAAATAAGCGAGCTCTTTTCCTAACGCAAAATTGCAAGAAAAGGAAAGAAAAAAGCAGATTCTCTTTGCGGACATGTAGACCGCCAACTGGACATTTACCTCTCGATCCTTGGGTCAATCTTCTAATATTTTTTAGGGGTACAACTAGACCCTAGTATTATTTTAAGTTAACTAACATTGATTTGCTAGATATCAGATTCAGCTTCCCAGCATGTGAAATTGTAGCCAATATCATTGTAATTAAAACAAAAATTATAATAAGCTTCATGGTTGTCTTGTAAATTTTAATTAAATAATTTATTAATAAAAATTAGAATTTATTTTAAATTTAAATTGTTTAATTATTATTTTAAAAATTGAAATTAAAATTATTTTCTGTTATATTTATTCAAAATTAGCAATTTTTATATACAAAAAAATACTTCCTTTTTTATAATTTTTGAAATTTTTGCAAACTTTTTTTAATAATTTACTAAAATATTTTTATTATAAAAATGGAAGTAAAAATAAAAATTTTATTTAAATACAAAAATATTTATGCAAAAAATTTCTAGCTATCGTTATGTCTTAATAAAATAATTTTTTTCTTAATGAAATAATTTTTAAAAATCGTCAAGTCCAAAATCAAGATAACTACAATATTTGATTGAGATCAAGTCTGAGTCCATTTCTATCCTTAATTGTTCACCAGATTGTTTCTTAAAACATTTCTTTGACGTGTATTCTGCTGTGCATTTTGAGTGCCATTATAACTCGATACAGCTGTTGTCTGAGTAACTTTAACGAATTGACTCTTGACCAATTTCCGAAAATCACTTGATATAATTAACAAGCATAACTCTTCGATGCATTGGAGTATGTTATATCCCAAATCATAAATTATTCGAGTAGCTAAAACGATATTTGTTTGATCATCAGTTGAATTTAGAGCGAATTGATAGGCTGCTGTATTCAAGTAATAAAAACCAAACAAGAAAATACAAGGGGTGGTGCTTATCAAACAAACAATTAAAATAATAACACGATCTTTTGCGGCGCTTTCATTTTCAGCCATTACATTAGTGTGTGGATTTCCTTTTCAAATTGAATTTTGAATTTTTAAATTAGATGTTTTTAAATTTTTAAATTTATATTAAATTAAATTTTAAACTGTGTAGTGACCGGACAATCCGTCAGTGGACAAATTCGTAATTCTTAACTCTACCCAACCTACTACGGCCAAAAATTTTCATTTTTTCGTGTGGGGATTATAAGATATAGCAAAAATTTGGATAATAATGAGAAAATCGGTAAATTTGGCTGGATTATAAAAGATCAGTAGTAGAGATCGGAATTTTGTTCCGTACCGTATTCCGTACCGTAATACCGAAAAATACCGATACCGATAGATACCGATAAAATTCAAAATTTTACCGTTCCGTAAAACGGTACGGAATACCGAAAAATATCGATACCGAAAAATACCGATCAACTTCAAAATTTTATCGGTCGATATTCCGTACCGTATTACCGATACGGAATACCGATAAATACGGCCGTAGTACGATACGGTCCGATCTCTAATCAGTATATTTGTGAGATATCGGTGATTTCAAGCATTAAAGTAGTAAAAACCAAACAAGAAAATACATCGTGGCATTAAAGGAAACAAAAGAGATTTGGAGCTGGTAGATATCGAAAAATTTGGGAGATTAAGAGGCATTAAGTGGGATATCAAAGGATATAGAAAGATCATGAAATTTGGAGGTGGTTCCAGATATACCCTCTCTGATTTGATACAATTTGAAGATCCCGGGGCAATAGCTTGGCATTTCCTTCGTGAAATTAACAAATTCCGATCATAAAAATAACTTACTATAATTATAATAAAATTTTGACAATATCGCTATATAAATTGCAATTGATATAGAAAATGATATCAAAAGTGGTAAATCTTGTGACTTGAATATTCCTTTCTGTAGGATGCTACAAAATAAACATTTTATAGAATCATATTATTTTAATATTATTATTTAAGTTGACTAGGGTTTATTAAGATTTGTAACTATATACCTCAAAACTATGATCTTGTCTTTATTTAGCCCGTAACCGTCCACCCCTAATAGTAATTTATTACTTTTGAACGTATCCACATAAATCTTCTCTTATATGTGATTGTAAAGCATATAGCTATTAATTTCCTAAGGCTGAGCAGTAGGCGGCGTGGTGTAATGGCTAACACATCAGTCCGGTCTACTGAAGATGCTGGTTCGCTCCCAGCCGCCAAATAACCTTTTGCACTAGCTAAAGGAGAGAAATAGCTATAGCCCAGCTGCTTTACTTGATTATATGAACTCTACTCTATATTATAGATGGCCGGGATACTCGAAAAAATTTTTCGGACTGAAACCGAGATGAGAAGTTTTCCAAGCCCAACCCGACTTTTTCTCAAGTTAGAAGTCTAAGGCTTGGTTTCCCAAACCATTACTCTCTTAAACACTACCAGCCATCCCGCTCTATATAAAAACAAAATAATGAGAAAATAAATGTGGATAGTTTTCAAATGATCACCGTTGTAAAAATGTGATATCACGGCTCGACTATGCTCCCTTGTTTATAAATACATTCAATAAACTTAAGCTACAAAGTAGTGTAAATATGGAAATTTATTTTGATTATTATTACCATATACCTGAAAATTCCAATATCTTTGTGTGATAATACAAGTATGAATGCTGTGAATTGAGCAGCTGTCCAAACTATTGAAATCAACCATATAGCGCAAATGATATATTTAACATTTCTATAGAATTTAAAATTCATCTGAGTTAAAGCTTAGTGCCAAATATGTAAGGCTTTAAATTTTACCACATACTAATCTTTATATATTGAGTAAAAAGTCCGTACTAAAATAATGGAACAGAAACAAGAAATAGGTGAAAAATAGGATAATTATGTCAAAATACATATGTAGTCCTAAAAACACGTGAAGAGCAATGTCGCTCTAGTTAACGGAAGTTTGCAGGAAGGTGCAAAGAATATCACAAACGGCCATTCCCAGAGAGTTCTAAGCTTATTATCGCCTAACTTATCCTTGGGAAAGCGATGGGTAAATAAGCTGGTGCTTATAAGCTCTAATGGAATAGGCAAAGGCAGATCCCTTCTTCATTCAATCATCAGAGTTGCCGGCCGGCTAATCCATCGAGTCTTATAGGGAAAAGCTCTCCATATCTTTCCCATGAGCGATTAACTTATTTCTATACTCTGCGTAGTTCACACATGTCTGCAGCATGCGCGACTTTGCTTATAACATCAACTAAACAACAAGGCACTGAGGAACGGGACCAACCGCTTTACTATATAATTCAGAACACTGCCTATCCCACATATCTTCTACCCAGCTGAATTTTCCTTTATTACATGCCCTGAGTTAAACATCAAGATAAATATTAACATGTTTTCAGTTTTCAAGAAGCTGTTTTACCTTAATTTCCATAATCTTTGATAGCTCATTAAAAAGAAAACAGCATGAAAACGATTTAGTGCAAAAAATGTCATATGAATGTAAGTAGCAATTACATTAAATTGATAAATTGCAGATATTATATAAAATATTTTGTTGTAATAAATTGCTAGCAATGGAATAAAATCGTGTGCTGGATCGAGAATTTGTATAAATTGCATCATTATATTGATACACGACTGAAAATAAAAGCAGGATTTACTAACGCCTATTAATATTTAAGGAAAATGGCTCTAATTTAGGACATGCGTCCTATGAGTTTTATGGTTCCCATGATCATTTAAACGTCCTATACGAGTCCATACGTCCCAAAAATAATACATACCGACTAGTGTTGGGCATGAGACGATATATCGACGATATTTTTCGAGATATCGCGAGATTTTTTTCGAGATTATCGATCTCGTCTCGACAATTTTTGGAAAATCGAGATTTTTCGATATCGAGATTTTTCGAGACTGGTGGGAATACAACTGGTTTAATCACTCATTTGAAACAACATACAGCGTATTTACATTTAGATCATAATTATATTGAACAAAATAAATTTTTATCCAATTCTAAGGGATTATAAAAAATATCGAAATATCGCGATAATCTCGAAAATTTTGGACCGAGATTTTTCGATATCGAGATTTTTCGAGATTATCGATCTCGATCTCGTCTCGATCAATTTTTGGAAAAATCGAGATTTTTTCGATATCGAGATTTTTCGATAATCTCGATTCGAAAAATCGCAAATGCCTAACACTAATACCGACAGAGCATGTGGGTACCAAAAATACTTTGTGTGGAGATATTTTGTGACCCTTATAAACTCATGGGACGCATAAAAGCTCAAGGATGCACTTCTTAAACTATTACTTGTAAAATAACCTTGCTAAATAAAATATAGAGTGCAGTTCTTTCT